GCTGGGGATTGAACCCAGGTCCTTGGCCTGCTAGCCAAAAATTCATATTTCAGATGATGTTATCATTCTCCTTGAAGGAGGTTCTTTTATTAATTGATATGTCTTTTCTCCTCCAGTCCTGTCTGTAACACATGTGCCAGAGAGACATTACTCAGGTATCTGAAGCTAGTATTTTTCAATTTAAAACTAAAGACAACTTGATCCAACTTAAAATCTATACACCCATTAATCAGATTTCAACAACAGTTTCCACAGAGACATCAATAAGGTCATGGTTGTCCCTCAAATTGTGAGTCCCATTCAGCCATGAATCTGTCTCAGTCATTTAAAATGTGTTCTTAGTTTTCATCTGTTTTCCCTCTTGGGATACTTTCCTGAGTTCTTTAACTACAACATGCCTGGCACATAGTAGGTACTCATTAAATATTGGTAAATAAATGAAAATTGTTATTCAAAGGTTGATCCTTCTATTTACTCTCAACACTCATTCTGGAATACTAAGACCCAACAATATCATTAGTTTCTACTAATCTTTTGACTTTGAGACATTCTAAAAAGGCATGACTTATTCAACAGCTTGCCATAAATATTGATACTGCTTCTTATTTGCTACAGCAAAAATGCTGTCAAGCCAGGCATGGTGACATGTATCTATAGTTCCAGCTACTTGGGAGACTGAGACAGGAGGATCACTTGAGCCCAACAGTTTCAGGCCAGCCTGAGAAACCTAAGGAGATCCATATCATTTAAAAAAAAAAAAAAGTCGTCAAATCACTTAAGAGTTTAAAAAGGAGACAGACAAGTAAGTAGATAATTACATTATTGTGTGAGATCCTAAGTTGTACCTTGCCTTAGTGATAATAACATTTATTGAGTTCACTGTACCAGGCATAATTTTAAGTACTTTACATGCATTTTTATTTCTAACCTAATTACACTGTAGTCTGATCACTGTAACTATGATATTAATCTTTTGAAGTTTACTGATACTTATTTATGGCACAATATGAAGTCAGTTTTTCTAAATTCATCCAGTTGGTAGCATTGGCATGCAGAATACAGTAGATCAAAGAGGATTTTGTATACATTGTGTGTGTGTGTGTGTGTGTGTGTGTGTCCATTAGCTCCAACTTTTGAAATAGTTCTTTACATTTTTTGTAAGATTCCAAAGTTTTCTACCTGTTTGACTTGTCAGCTACTAAAACTGATATATTAAAATTTTTCTGCACAATTACAAATATATTTTTCTTTCAGTTTTGCTTTATATATTTTGAGGCTAATTTATTAAGTTTATACACATTTAAAATGGTTACATCTTTCTAGTAAATTGAGCTATTTACCATTATGTAATGCTTCTTTTATCTCTAGGAGTGCTTTCTGCTTTTTTTTTCACTGACAGCCTTTGTGTTTTAAAAAGAACACTGGATCCATTTGCGCTATTATTTTATTTTTATTTATTCTTTTCTAATTATTTCCATGGGTTTCTTTTTCTCTTATTTCTTATTTGCCTTTGGATTGTGTGTGCTTGTGATTGTCATTGTTTTTCTAGAAAGCATTTAATTTTTTTTACCTCAATTAAAATGGAAGTTATAAACCTATTTCTATTTTGTTGGTGGTGATATAATCTTTTTCTTTTTTTCTTTTTTATTACTGGGGATGGAACCCAAGGTCATTTTACCACTGAGCTACATCCCCAGCCCTTTTTATTTTTCATTTTAAAACAAGSACTCACTAAGTTGCTTAGGGCCTTACTAAGTTGCTGAGGATAGCTTTGAACCTGCGATCCTTCTGCTTCAGCCTTCTGAGTTACAGGAATGATAGGCATGAGTCACCAAGCTCAGCAGATAATGCAGAATTTTTTTAAAGATTATTTAATTTATTAAAATCCAACTTCAGTCTATTTCCTTACCAAATACTGAAAAATCATGGTCTGTGCTACCATAATTGTATGTATTATTTATATCTTAATTTTAACACCCCCCCAAAAGATGTTGTTGGCATTGATTAATAGAATGAAAGTGTGTTTTAGCCAGATGTGGTAGTGCATGCCTCTAATACCAGCACTCAAGAGGCTGACGAAGGAGAATCACTTGAGCCCATGTGTTTGAGACTAGCCTCGGCAACATTGTGAGACCACATTAAAAAAAAATAATAATAAGCTTCTTTCCTCTCATGTTATATTTGCTGATATTGTCAAGGATCCTGCTRTTCAATACAAATTCTACGTATTTGCTTTTTATGAAAATGAGATGTTTCCAAGACATAACCATGATTTAGAAATGAACACAATATTGACTTCCAGGTAATATCCCAGAGACCTTATTCTGAACTTTCTTTTTCATCTCTCTTGTCCATGGGGGCTGGGGTTATGGCTCAGAGGTAGAACACTCACATGTGCGAGGCCCTGGGTTCGATCCTCAAGACCACATAAATATAAATAAATAAAATGAAGATATTGTGTTCAACTACAACTAAAAAATAAATATTAAAAAAAAGCTCGTATCCTCTACTGCGTTTTTCCCCTTGGCATATTTGGGATCCCCTCTAATTCTCAAAGYATCAAAGGATTGCAAAGGATTGGATAAAATCTTAGCATTCATTCAGTTCTGCCCACTTTTCAAGTGGCTGATTAACCATTTTTTCTTTTTTAATCTACTCAACTGTACCCTAATCATGTCAGAAGCCACCAATGGCCTCTTACATTTATCTTGACTTTTTCTCAAACTTTAACAAATTTCCTACGAAGCATTCAAAACTACTGGTCTTTCTTCTCCTGACATCTATGATACTGCTGTCTCCTAATTCTCTTTCCCCATCTTGATTTTCCATTACTTCATCTTTGTAAATATGTATGTTTCCAAAGTTTCTATTTTTAGCTCCCTTTTCTCTTTACTCTTTTGCATATATACCTTAATCCATTCACTTACTCATTTATACAATGAACATTAGTCAATATGATGAATTAATTGGAAGTATTCTATCTAGTATAGTATAGGAAATTTGAGCCTCTCTTTTAGTTATTTTTTTTAATTGGTCAGAGAATATGAGCCAAATGAGAATGATTTTTTTATTACAGATTTCTCTTATTTTAGTACTCATTGGAGTTGAATATTCAATGCATTCTAAAACTTTTTCAGACTAACAATGCATGAAATTCAATTGAGAACTCTTTTAGCAGATCTTAGTACCAAATGTACTCATGCCAGGCAAGACTTGCTTTAAGGTAGATGGACACTTTTAGGCCATGACTTATGAAAGAAAGCTTCCTTTTGTCCTCAGGCATGTACTACGCCCTCCCTGTTCTCATTGCTGGCCCTGCCAAGCCCCATTAGTATTTTGAAATAGGCCAAAACTGTCTGTGATATGTTTCCACTTTGCCTTTTGACTCTTTCTTCTGCATTCTAGAGCCCTTGTCCCTGATAGTATCAGTGCACTTATGCAGCTCTAAGCCTCCTACTGTTCTCCAGTTCAGGTGTCTTCTCTCCCACCTTCCCTCCTTAACACTCCAAACTTACTGTTGGAAGCCAAAAAAAAAACTCATATCCTGTGGGGGGGGCGGGGCTGGGATTGTGGCTCACTGGTAGAGCACTCACATGAGTGAGGCCCTGGGTTCGATCCTCAAGACCACATAAATATAGATAAATAAAATAAAGATATTGTGTTCAACTACAACTAAAAAATAAATATTTAAAAAAAAAGCTCGTATCCTCTACTGCAAGAATAGGATGAAAACAATCAAGAACAAAAGGCAATGTCTAGAGGAAAAAGCATTACACTGATAAGTGGATAAATCTAGATTCTAGCTGTGGCTCTGTGGCTGACTTCTAAGCTTCATTTCTGTCATTTGGAAAGTGGAGAAATTGCACTGGAATAATTGATATCTAAGGTACCAGCTCTTTGAAGTTTAAAGGTAGTTCATACAAATATGAATAACTGATGAATGAGGGATTTGCATTCTGATGAAAATAGCTACATTGTTTAAGGTTGGAGCTTTAATCGTTATATCTAACCCTCTTGGTAGGTGTTAGTTCAGCTTTTGCTACCCTTAGGTACTGTTCCAAGTCCTGCCTCTTTACGGCTCACTTTGTGTTTCACTGCCAATCAGGAAGGACTGATTAGTATCACTATACAAATATTCACCTGGTATAATGGCCCTGAGGTTCATCCGWKTCATAGCATGTGTCAAATTTTTAAGGCTGAGTAATATTCCATACTATGTGCAAATGTTATGTGCACACACCACATATATGGAGTGTCCACTCCCTCACCTGTTTGCATTCAGTTCTTATTTTTAGTTCTTTTGGGTATATACCCATAAGTAGATATGCTAGAGCATRTAGTTATTGCATTTGTCTATATATATTCTGTTTTCTCATTCTGTAGTTTTGTTGTTTATTTGTTTTGAGGACCTGCTGTACTTTCTTCCACAGCAGCTGCACTATTTTACATTCCCACTGAGATTTTTCTGTCTATACCATTCCCCAAAATTTTACCCAATGGGTTTTAGATTCAGTGATATTTCTTGCCTGCTCAATAATAACAAGATACCCTTTTTATATAACACTAAGAAGAAGAAATACTTTCAGTCTGTTATAAAATGCATTCCAATCTCAGAGATGATAAAATCTGAGATGAAAAATCTTAGACTCAATGAAATGCAGTAGGTAAATCTGCTATTTAAAAAACCCTCTAAATTTTTTGTGTATAAATTATACAAACTTTAACTGTCATTATAATAAATGAAGGTAGCTGTTCACCAATAGTATATAAAATGATGTCCTCCTCAAATGTATTTCTACTACATTTTTCTAAAAGAATATACTTCAGGGAGAGTTTTCTACCCCTCCTCCAACTTAGCTACYATGCCTTAGTGACAATTTGGAATAAAAGTAAAAACCTCACAGAACTTTAAATAGTATATCCCTCTATTTTGGTTTCCATATATTTGTGATTTCTGGTGAATATCCCATAATTTTCATTTGTCTTTGTTTCTTTTTAAGGATTGTTCAAGTTTAGAAGAATATAACATTGCAGCAGCATTACTCCCTTTGACCAGTGCTTTCTATAGGGTAAGTCTCATTGGTCTATATATAAACTTGTTATGATTTGTATGAGTGTATCCAGTTTGATTCCTCACAGAACTAAATAAATCCTGTCCTCTTAGTATACCTAAGACATAACCATGGTTATATTTATTATAACATTTATTGCATGCTATGTATAGGAAAAGTTACATGGAACACTAAATCATCTCCTAATGCAACATCTGCACCCATTTTACCCTGTTTTCTTTTTCCTTATAACACCTGAAATTGTATTATATATTTATTTGTTTACAAGTTTTTCCCTTGACCACAGAAAGTAAATTCCATGAGACTAGGATATTGTCTCTTGTCTTTGCCACTATATCCTAATGCTACACAGTAAATAATTATTAAATGAATGAATGAATGAATGACATAATTAGAGTTTAATGTAGTTGGCAATTTCTGTCAACCTTCTGAGAATTTTCTGGACTGTCCAAAGTGATTTTTAAAATTCTGTCATTATAACTTTAACACAAATATATTAGCTCTTACAGCAAACAAACCCAGCAAGTTCTCTTTATTGTCACATCCTATAAAGAACTAAATAACCACATTCTGAACCATGCATTTAATACATCCTTCTGAAATGTGTAATAGGAAATATTAAATCTGTGGCAACAGAGTGACTCACTGTTGATCCATATGCAGAGTCAGCTTTATAAGGCAGTAAGTTAACAAGTTTGGCCAAATGCCATGCTGTTTTCCAGTATTATCAAACTTAATAATACTGTGCTATGTTCTAGAGGTGGGTTTACAGATATGATTGTTTTTGTCTTAGTTTTTTGGTTTGGTTTTCAGGTAAATCAGTCAAGGCTCAATGGACAGCCAGAAACGTAACAGTAATTCAAGCAGATAGCTTTTAATATAAGGAGCTATTAAGTAGTAATGATTAATTACTAAAAGATAAAGAGAATCTAAAGAATATAGGAATCGAATTTGGGGATCAGCTACTATCTCTAGAGCTCTAGAAGAGWACCTAAGAGAGAAATAAACTTGGAAAGGGCCTCCTCACCTCTGAGCTGATTCACAGATCTTTTTGGAAAGTTATTACTGTGGCCAAYGATGGCTTAGACATTCACTGAGGTACCACAGAGCAAGACTGGCAAGCAGAAAACTGCCTGCCACAAGACATACTGGGAAACCACCTACTAGGGTACTAGTGAAATTAAATAGAATGCCACCAGTTGGGATAGTATTAAAACTTCTTCAGTAGCAAACACCTGTAGGTGTCCCACATACCACTAATAGGTGATGCCACAGGAATAAAAAGGAAAAAGCACACCAGAACCAGGAAGAGAAGTCAGTTTCTACTGCAGTGTCCCTGTGCGCTTTTTACTGACAAAGCTTAATATCATGCCCAGTGACAAAGGAAATGTTTATAAGGCCCAGTTCTAAGATCAGAARGAATAGAAAAGAGGATGGCTTTGGAACAAAGAGTGCATTGATAATTGGTTCAGAAGAATTAGGGAAGACAGATCACACTGATTTTTAAATATTTTCTAAATATATATCTTACAGAAAATTATTTCTTGTGCAATGTGGATTTTTTTATATTTATTTTTTCGCTGTAGTTGGACACAATATCTTTATTTATTTATTTATTTATTTATTTATTTATTTATTTATTTATTTTTATGTGGTGCTGAGGATCAAACCAGGGCCTTGCATGTGCTAGGCAAGCGCTCTAATGCTGAGTCATAATCCCAGCCCCATAGTGGATTTTTTAATTCAGGAAGTAGATATAAATTGCATTAATCTGGCCACAAATTGCAGATGAGCCATCCTCATAACTGTCTAGCCAGTATAAACTCTTGGAACTTGCACAGCATTACTTCAGAGAATGGTCTCAGTTGTTTCTTACTTTTAAAATATTTTAGTAACATACTCATTTTTTTTTTCAATGCAACAAAAGTTATTGAGCGTCTGGACATATAAAGTTACTATGCTGGGCAATATCATGGACAGCAACATAAATAAAACATCAACATGGCCTTAGGAACTTGAATTGTACTCTTTTTAAATTTTTTATTTGTTTTAATTAGTGATACATGACAGTAGAATGCATTTATGCAATTAGATATATCATACATAGATGGGATATAACTTTATTTATTTATTTTTTTTTAAAGAGAGAGTGAGAGAGGAGAGAGAGAGAGAGAATTTTTAATATTTATTTTTTAGTTCTCGGCGGACACAACATCTTTGTTGGTATGTGGTGCTGAGGATCGAACCTGGGCCACACGCATGCCAATCGAGCGCGCTACCGCTTGAGCCACATCCCCAGCCCCATAACTTTATTTTTTTGAGTGTACATCTTGCAGAATCATATTGGTCATGTAGTCATGTATATACATACAGTAATAATGTTTGTTTCATTCTACTATCTTTATCCCCACATCCCCTCTCCTTCCCTCCCATCACTTCCCTCTACCTAATCTAAGGTAATGCTATTCTTCCCTWATGCCCCCGGCCTTATTTTGAATTAGCATCTTCATGTAACTCCAACCATTTACTGGCAAATGCCATAATTTCACTCTTTTTTAAAGCTGAGTAATATTCCATTGAGTATATATACCACATTTTCTTTATCCATTCATCTATTGAGGGACACCTAGGTTGGTTCCATAGTCTAGCTATTGTGATTTGAGCTGCTTTAAATAATGATGTGGCTGTATCACTGTATATGCTGATTTTAAGTCCTTTGGGTATAAATCAAGGAGTGGGATAGCTGGGTCAAATGGTGGTTCCATTACCAGTTTTCTGAGGAATCTCGCCGACATTTATTGTTGCCTGTATTCTTGATGATTGCCATTCTGATAGGAATGAGATGAAATCTTAAGAGTAGTTTTGATTTGCATTTCTCTAATTGCTAGAGATGTTGAACACTTACTCATATATTTGTTGATCACTTGTACTTGTTATTTGTGAAGTGTCTGTTTAGTTCCTTAGCCCTTTTATTGATTGGGTTATTTGTGGGGGGGKTTTTGGTGTTAGGTTTTTTTAAGTTCTTTATATATCCTAGAGATAAATGCTTTATCAGAGGTACATGTAGTAAAGATTTTCTCCCAATCTGTAGGCTCTCTCCTCACATTATTAATTGTTTCCTTTGCTGAAAAGAAGCTTTTTAATTTGAATCCATTCCATTTATTGATTCTTGATTTTACTTCTTGAGTTTTAAGAGTCTTATTAAAGAAGTTGGATCCTAGGCTGATGTGGTAAAGATTTGAGCCTATTTTTTCTCCTATTAGATGCAGGATCTCTGTTCTAGTGACTAAGTCTTTGATCTACTTTGAGTTGGTTTTTGTGTGGTTGAGAGATAGAGGTTTGCTACATATGGATTTCCAGTTGTGCCAGCACCATTTGTTGAATAGGCTATCTTTTCTCCAGTGAATGTTTTTGGCACCCTTGTCTATTATGAGATAACTGTATTTATGTGGTTTGTCTCATGTGTTCTCTATTCTGTATAATTGGTCTACAAGTCTATTTTGATACCAATATCATGCTGTTTTTGTTATTATAGCTCTGTAGTATAGTTTAAGGTCTGGTATTGTGATGCCTATTGCTTCACTTTCCTTGCTAATGATTGCTTTAGCTATTCTGGATCTCTTATTTTTTCAAATAAATTTCATGATTGCTTTTTCTATTTCTATGAAGAATGTCATTGGGATTTTAATAGGAATTGCATTAAATCTGTATAATGCTTTTGATAGTATGGCCATTTTGACAGTATTAATTCTGCCTATCCAAGAGCATGGGAGATGGTTTCATCTTCTGAGGTTTTCTTCAATTACTTTCTTTRGTGTTCTGTAGTTTTAATTATAGAGGTCTTTCACCTCTTTTGTTTGATTGATTCCCAGGTATTTTATTTATTTATTTATTTGCACCTATTGTGAATGGAGTAGTTTTCCTAATTTCTCTTTCAGTGAATT